GATGTGAACATGTCCCATAGGAAATCATGTTAAATGGACTGTACTGCATTTATTCAAAATGCTGCAGAAAATGCTTAGGTGTGAACCTAGGGTAAAACAGAGTATGCCTGACACATTTTTTTTCACTACATTTAGCTTAACTGAACAAGCTGAATTTAGAAGCTTACCACCATGCACAGCTGCACCAGATTGAGTGCACCAGTTTTAGTAAATCTTCTGCTGTGTGTGCAAATAAGAAGAAAAGTGTTGTTTATTAGCCAGCTAGCAGAGATAAACAATATGATGTTTTCAGCTCTCTGCAGAAAAAACCCCAAAAAACATTTAAATGCTATTTTAATAAAAGCTCTTCATGAACTATTTCTGAAAGGGCCAATTAGCAAACTCACTGCCAACAATTTTTATGCTCTGAAAAAAAATGTGGTCCACAACTATTCACCTCCTTCTGAAAATAATAGTTTCCTCGCCATCTCTGTTTTTAATGCAATTGTTAAAGACTGTAAAAACATTTTTTTTTCATAAATAAATATAAATATTAAGCTGACATATAATGTCCAGAACAAAGCAATGTTTACATAAACATTAGTTATTTATATAAAATACATAAAAATAATGTGTCCATAAGAGTATGTTTCAAGCCTGCATTGCATTGTACAAAATATCCTCTAGATGGCAGTATGGATGAAAATGAAACCATTGACCTTCAAATATACAGTATGAATTGTTCTTATCAAAATCTATCTATCTATACAAATGTATATCTTATAATTACTATACAGGATTTATATAGCACCAACAGATTCCGCAGCACTTTACAAAATGAAGGTAGACATTACAGTTACAATACAATTTGAAGGGAGGAAACAGGGATAATAATAATAATAATAATAATAAATAGACGTATAACTATTTACTGCTGTTTTGTCTTTTGCATATGATAAAAATGATTAATTCCTGGTGCTTTGCCTTTGGAATTCCATTTTGGGACGCTAATCCAAAATAAACAATTGCTATACTGTTTCATAAAATACAGTTTTCACCTTTTTTCATCTCAGTGCTGTTGATCTACCTTGTCCTCTTGTGTTTTTAAAATGTCATACAAATATGTATATTTGAAATTAAAGTGGGCAAGCGGAGTATCTGTAACCACCAAAAAGCATTCCACATAATCCCCAGAGAGGGGTTAACGCATCCAGACTTATTTTTTCTGTAGGTCAATTTACTAAGGTGAAGGCATATCTCTCCTCACTGTGAGGTGGTGCACACATTTTTGAAGAGTGCTTGCAGCACTGGGTTTTTGGGATTACATGCTATGTGAGGATTGCACTTGGAGTCACAATTTATAAACAATGTGAAGAGTGTAGTGGAAGTGCATGAAGACAATATACTATATGTGGGACTGTATAGACATTGGAGAATGATATATCCATTTTTTAAAAAATATATTTTGGTTGCATGTTTTAAGAATAACTCACAAGACACAGCCATTAAGTGTATATTCAAGGTTTATTCATTATTTTCAGCAGGGCAACACAGTACAATTTGATTATTCATTGAGGTTGGTGGGGAACACACACTTAGGTGATTGCAGCATCCAAGGAGTGGTAATTCAGTGTATCACATTTATGTAGTGATAGTGCATAAGGCCAGCCATACATGGGTCCCATTACAAACAATTTTTCTGTTGAAAATTGTCATTTTGAATTATTGTCCGAATTTTGATCATTAGTGGGGCCACAGCAATGGATCATTGGATTGAGTGATGCGGCATGTTGGAAATATTTTGAAAAATTAACAAATTTATAATCAATGATGGGAGAATCGTGCAAGAAATATAATTGAAAAAGAAATGAGCATGAGCTGTGACCTGGAAAGAAAAGAAGATTCCTGGCCACAAAAATTTCTTTTCCATAACATGAGTTGAAATTGAAGGCTTGGTTGGTCAAATTTCAAAATGAATGGTGGCACCATGGGATTACAAAACACACATTTTGGATTTTTGATCAACAAATTATTCGGGATTGGATGCACGTATGGCCTGCATAAGTGTTTTTGTTTATATTTATTTGTTAAAGAGAACCTTACAATGAAGTTATATCACCCACCAGGCTTTTTGTCCCCTATGGGGTTGATTTACTAAAGGTAAAAGGGCATTTTCTCTAGAGCTTAGTAAATGAGGTAAAGCTTCACTTTGCAAAAAAATACCCAGTCATGGGCAAGGAAAATTTTTAAAAAACAGCATTTTTGCATGCATGTGATTGGATGATGGAATTAAGCAATTTTACTAAGCTCTGGAGCAACTGCACAGTCTATTTATTTGCTTTTAATAAATCAACCCCAATGTGATATAAATAATGTTTCAGTGATTATAAGAAAGTAAACTTACAGCCAATCACTTAAACCCTCTTCATAACAATTTTGAGCTCACCCTGCCTCCATGTACACGCACACCTGTGTATATAGGGGCGCCTATGTTTGAAAATGCCGCTTACAATACACATATTGCACATCGTCATGCATGACAAAGTGAGAACAATGATTGTAGGGCCATCATTTACAAAATGATGATATACAGGGGCTTTTAAAGTGTAATCTATAGAGAATTAGGATACTGTCGTCCATCTTGTTTTACGGGTGTGCACAATTTTAAGGCTTGACATGTTGAGTATCTTTTTAGTTGGTGCAACCTCAATTTTTAGATGTTACCAAAAATCGGGTAATATATTGTTTTAAAACAAATTTTGGTGTTTTCTACTGAAAATTTGCTCTTGATAAACCATTACGCAAACACTATGTGACATAAACATTGGAACCACCACTATTTTATTTTCTAGAGTGTCTCCTTTCAGAAATTATACCATCTTTGAGGGTTTCAACTGAACTTTAAGCCTAAAACATATGTGCAAAAATGTTGCTGGCAGCTAAAAGTTTAATGTGAGCCTAAACAACAATTTTTTTCTCTAAAAATAATCAATACACCTCCATAGTCCCATAGGCGTGCGCACAGGGTGTGCCAGATGTGCCTGGGCACACCCTAATCACCCTGTGTGCATTACTATTATTGCTCTGTGTGCCAATGAGGAGATGGGAAAGATCTCCCACTGAGCAGCTCTGCTTTTAAGAAAATTGTGGAAGCACTTCTCTTTCACTCTGAAACTGCAAGCAGCGAGATAATGTGCCTGCAGGGAGATCAGAAAGATATGCATGTGTGTTTGAGCTTTGGGATGCACACACTAATGTAATAGGCGGCGCATGCTTATGCATAGTCCTATAATCTATTTTTCATGAAATTGTTTCTCACTGTGCTTTTGTGCTTGCAACATCCTGCACAAGCTCCCAAAGCTCTCCTTTTCCCCCTCACGTTTCTTTGTTTGGAAGGAGCAGTGCATGTTAGTTGCGGTCATGCACACTGCTCTATACACACTACAAATCCCATAGTCCAAAGTCCATCATGGGAGCAAGCAAGAAAGGGTGACTAAGTTTCTACATACAGTGGAATCAGGGTAAACAAATGTAGCCATCCTTCTAACAGGAAGTTGGATCACAGCTGCAGAAATCTGGGCATTTGGAGGAGACTTATTCCCTGTACACACGATAAGAAAATCATATGAAAAATTTAGTGGAACCACTGATCGAACGATTTTCTCTTCGCTGATGAGCAGGATGTTTTAACTGATAACGCTATTGTGAACGCAAAATTCCGGTTGAACAAAAGTGAAAAGTTTTGTCGTTTCGCATACGAACAACCTATTTTCTATGCAGTGGTATGACGATCGTACGAAAAAAAAATCTATCAAGCGCTATCACGCATGAGCGGAAACAGAAGATGACCCAGATGTTTATGTCCAAGGAATCTTCATAAACACGAACGAAAACTCCAAATGTTAAAAGTAGATTGGCCCAATGAGATAATGAAACCAGAATTCTGCATATTATATTTTATGTATCACTATTTATGCATATAGGTAATGTAATAAACTATATTATACTCATTGCTGTTAACCTCCCTGGCGGTATGATTATTTCAGATTTTTGGTGCTGAAAGCAGTACCATTATTTTGCATGGAAATGTGGCGTTTTATATTGTAGGCCTGTAATTCTTAGGAATAACTCACTGAAATCTGTCCGCACAAGAGTCTAGTAAACATCCCGGGTATGATAAAACTTGAAACACGAAATCTTAAATTATAATTTAATAAATAATCATAAAAAATAATAATATAATAATAAATTTAATTCAATAATATAATCAAACCAAAAACACTGAAATTATAATTTAATAAAAAATCATAAAAAATAATAATCTAATAATAAATTTAATTCAATAATATAATCAAACCAAAAACACTGATTTATACACTATTTATGTATATAGATAATGTAATAAACTATATTATAATAATAGTAACTTAAATAATAAATTAAATAATAATAACTAATAATGTAATAAACTATATTATACTCATTGCTGTTAACCTCCCTGGCGGTATGATTATTTCAGATTTTTGGTGCTGAAAGCGGTACCATTATTTTGCATGGAAGTGTGGCGTTTTATATTGTAGGCCTGTAATTCTTAGGAATAACTCTCTGAAATCTGTCCGAACAAGAGTCTAGTAAACATCCCGGGTAGGATAACACTTGAAACATGAAATCATAAATTCTAATTTAATAAATAATCATAAAAAAAAAATAATATAATAATAAATTTAATTCAATAATATAATCAAACCAAAAACACTGAAATTTGAAATATAGCGCCAAGTTCACACATCACTGAGCAAAGTCGCAAAATCGTTTTCAGTGTCTGATGACGAATTTCCCCACGAATCATTATCACTCAATTCTGCAAGTGGTTCTGATTTACTATCGCTGTTCTCTAGCTGGTCTAAAACCGCTTTTGACCTAAAGGGACGCTTTTTGGACGCAATGGACGTTTCTCAGTTTCCAGGTAGAAAGAACAGTAAAAATGCAGTCAGGGCACAGGACAAAGCACTAGGGACAAAATGTATGTGAAATGGTTTGATACAGTAATGTTTTACTATGTGATTTTAGTGAATGTCACTTTTTGTCATTTTCAAATTTCCCGCCGTTCCGTCCCCTGTACGTCCCGACGTCGCAGGGGACGGAACCCAGATGACAGATGCCGGCATCCGCCGGATTACATTGCTGGGGACACTGCAGGAGGGACATCGTGGGAGCGCAGGACAAGGTAAGAGATCGAGGGATCGGGGAGCAGCGCCGCATGGTAAGCCCGAGTGTAGCTCGGGGTTACCGCTTGTGGTGCTGAAACTTTTACCCCGAGCTACACTCGGGAATACCACCAGGGAGGTTAATTGTGTATATCGCTCGTTCTGGCCGGAAGGGCGTGGCTACAAGGTCACACGTCAACTGCATCACTTCCACTTGTACGGAAGACGTCAACACTACGTATTGTCTGACGAACGATTTTTTTAGATTGGTTAATGTGGGCCACGATTTCCACCAACAAACGAACGCCTCTCGGTCATCGGATGACCGATCGGTCGATTTTCTAATCGTGTATTCCCATCTTAAGTCTAGGTTCGCACCTGTGCAGGTTGCGTTTGAGGCGTTTCTGCATTGCGTTTTGCATTGCGTTTTTGCCACTTTTTTTTATTATTTTTCTTGTTGCTACTCAAAACACAGCAAAAACACAATACATGCTTTCTGTAGCATCCCCATTAAAGTCTATAGAACCAAAAACCCACATTTTGCATTCACAAAATTTGCGTGCATTGTGTTTTTCAGGCCATGCATTTGAATGGGCTGAAATCACACTGAACCACACCAGAAGTAGTGCATGCGCTACGTTAAAGAAATGCACTGCAACCAGGTATCAGGGTACTTCTGTCTCATGCGATCTGGTGCAGACAAACGCACAGGGCAGTGTGTTTTGAATGTGGTGTGGGAAATGTGCACAGGGTAGGTTTCCCGCACTTCTGTTTCTGGTGTGAACGGGCCCTAAGAGCAATGAAAGGGACTTTTTTAAAAAAAAAAATATGTACTTTTGTTTGTTTTTTTAACCTCTTGCCTACCGGACACTTTTACTTTTTTCATTGGACACAGCAGATCACGTAGCAAAAGGCCACTGTGATTGGCCTTTTACCTCATGATGTGATCAATTGCATCTGTAGGATCACAGTCATGGAGAGCAATGGGGGTGGTCGGGAGGGCGCTTTCTGGGAGAACTGGACAACCGTGCTGTAGCCATCATTCGGCCTATAGCGCGGTTGGCAAGTGGTTAAACCAAAAGTTAATGTCACTTTAATAAGACATCAGACATGAGCAAGCATATCTACTGTATGCATGAAGCCATCAGCTGAGCACAGCTAACATAGCAGCATGTAGAGGAGATCTGAGAATACTACTGAGCACAGCCCTGTCACAGCCATTCGGTCACAGCACACAATCCACCATACAGCTGAGTCAGCAGATTTCTCCAGGAAACCTGACACTGGGCTAATCTGCCATCAGGTTCACTGTGCTAGCTGCTCTCAGAGTCCTACTGACAGTGCATGTGCAGTGGGCTGCCAAGTCACTATGGCAACACAAAGCTAAACTCTAGCAGTATGGAGTCTCTGGAGAGGAGAGGCACAGAGCAGGTAGGACAGAGCTCAGGGCTGGCTGGAGGTTCCTGTTATTATTATTACACAGGATTTTATATAGCGCCAACAGTTTGCTCAGCACTTTTACAATATAACAGGAGACAATACAGCAACAATACAGTTCAATACAAGAGGGATAGGAGGTTACAATCTAGGAATAGGGTGTATATATATATATATATTTGCACCATGTGATGATTTCCCAGCATTGTTCTTTGTGCTGTTTCTATATAAATAGAGGACCCATTGAGATAGCTGTGGTCAGAACATGCTGAGACTTGTAGTTCCACAGGAATCAGACCACCATAGCTTTGTTATTTGTGAACGTGCACTTTAAGTGATGATACTAGTGTGTGTAGATCTGCCCTGGATTGAGGATTTAACCACTTTAGTACAGAGCACTTTCACCCCCTTCCTGTCCAGGCCAATTTTCAGATTTCTGTTGAAATTTGAATGACAATTGTGCGGTCATGCAACACTACACCCAAACTAAATGTATATAATGTTTTTGATACAGATAGAGCTTTCTTTTGGTGGTATTTAAGCACCACTGGGGTTTTTATTTTTTGCTAAACAAACTAACAAAGACTGAAAATTTTGGAAAAAAAAGTTTTTTCTTTGTTTCTGTTATACAATTTTGTAAATAAGCAATCTTTCTCCTTCACTGATGTGCGCTAATGAGGCTGCAGTGATGGGCACTGATAGGAGGAACTGATAGGCGGCACTGACGGGCATTGACAGGCATCCCTGATGGGCACTGAAAGGCAGCACTCATATACAGTATAGCACTGGTAGGTGGCAATGATGGGCACTGAGAGGCGGCACTGACTGGCACTGATTGGAACTGTTATGCGGAACTGAAGGGCACTGATAGGCAGCAATGACTGGCACTGATAAGCAGCACTGACTGGCACTGATAGGTTGCACAGATGGGCACTGATAGACGCCATTGACTGGCACTGATAGGCAGCACTGACTGGCACTGATAGGCAGCACTGAAAGGCAGCTCTGATGGGCACTATGTGGCATTGATGTGCATTGATTGGCACTGATATGTGGCATTGATCTGCACTGATGGGCACTGGTATGTGGAATTAATGGGCACTGACAGGTGGCACTGATGGGCTACACTGATCATCAGGGCACTGATGATCAGTGTAGATGTCCCCTCTGAGGAATGCCACTTACTGGCTCTCCTCTCCTCCCGCGCTGTGAGTAGAGGACTGCCAATAACTGGTGTTTCCTATTTACATGCGATCAGCTGTGATTGGACACAACTGATCACATGATAGAGCCTGTGTCATTGGCTCTTTACTGTGATCGGTGATCCAGGGACCCAGCGCACCACCAGTTGCTGCACGCCCCGAGGGGCACGAATTCTGCAGCTACAGTGGGAGGACATCAAAAGATGTCCTCCCAGAACGAGAGAGCCACCGCCAGTCCGCCATTTCCTTATATAGCGGGCGGGAGGCGGCAAATGTATTGCAGTGTACCAATCATTACATGTGATCAGTGTATTCATTTTCTTTTTTAGGTTTTCTTCCCTTTATTTTTACCTGGTGATCTAGCTAGTGACACCCTTCCTGCCTTGGGTTGCCTCCACTCTGGATGGAAGAGCAACGGAGACACCTTTGGCCTATCCTGACCATACACTATACAATCTGATTGTACAATCTGGGTATACACATTGACTTTGCTTACAGATCCCCACATCAACACAAGTGATATGGATGCAGGGATGCTAGAGGAAGGTAAAAAATAGCAGGTCACCAGGAGAGAACAGAGGGGAAAATCCTAAAAAAATAGAAAACAAATGCAGCCCCCACATCTAATGATTAGTAAGCAGCAATTTAATACATGTTTGTTTTGGGGTTTAATACCGATTTAAAAATCCCTTTAGTAAGCAGATAGGACAGCGGTGGAAGTTGGACAGCGCCTCTCCGGAAATGTCCAAAAGGACCAAATACACCAAATCATCTTGATCTTGAGGTGCAGCTCTGTACACATATTCATGTTTCTGGGGCATTTCCCTTCATATTTATTTAAGAAGAACTAAAGGCAACCTTTTCTTTCTTTTTTTGATGGGGTAACGGTGGTCATACATGCCAACAACACAATCAATCGGTATGCCACATACGAGGAAGTGGAATTCAATTGAAAGTTGTAAGATACGATTGTAGGTTATCGATCGTATTTCTGTTTTCAATATGCAACCTTAAAATTTGATTGATCGGAATACAATCACATTTTTGCCAGAATCTGCTTGTTGCTGCCAAATGATGTAAAACGATCAATGATGTTCCACCGTGGCCTCAGTTTAATCCAATACAATCTACACTGAGTCTAAATCGATCAAAAGGGGAGGTATGGCTATTCGATCAGTTTATGGTTTAATCATTTTGGCTGAATCACATATTGATCGGATAATAAGAGAGGGAGATTTCCTTCACTTCCTGTCCCATAGCCAAAACAGGAAGTTAGAGGAAATCCCTCCACAGTGAGGAAATCACCAGAACTAGTGTTCCTATTAGGTGAGTTCCCCTCTCTTCCTGTTCTGGTGATGGACCTTCATCCATGAATGCACAGGGCCTCCAACGCCAGTTTTAGATAAAGCAGGGAAGGCTTAGTGTGACGGGTGCGGCGTTTAGACCCCAGCCCTTCTCACCAACTTGTGACCGAAGGACTAGCCAATCTAAAACCGAGCTGTCACATGCGTAACAATGCCACGCTCAGCTGCACCCCGCACAAAGATATTCCAGCTCGCTGGACCACAACCTATGTGCCGCAGCCTGAGAGCGATTCTTACTGGGTCAGGTTATTTACGTAATTAACTCATCACACTGCCACCACCTCCTTTTTGTGCAGAGAAGGAGGAAACTCACCAATCTTAGCAGTAACACTATGATGTTTGAATAAGCGTCTGTATACACACTGTCACCTCAGGCAGATGTATGCAGAAGTTTAAAACACACACGTAGCACTATACAGAGACAGGGATTCTTAGTTTGCATTAAAGAGCTTTAGAAACAGTTCAACACTTTTCAGAAAATAGGATTTACTGCTAAAAAGGTCAAAATGGTGCAATAAAAATATTTACAGAAAAAGATGTAGCCAATATATATATATATATATATAAATACAGAGAGCAATACCACAACAGAGAGATACCAGAAAGAAGTTTAGAGAGGTAGAATACTTGCCGTCAGCCTTGGTTTAAGCAGATCAAGTGTCCTGAACAAAAGGGTACCGTTCTCCCAAGTCGGTTCCTGATGTTAAAAAGAGAGAATCTCTCTCTCTCAGGCCTGACAGTCTCTTTTCTAGTCCTCCAGCAGGGGGTGTCTACTGAAGCCAAGGGCCAATCGCCTCATTTGGGGAGGGGGGTTTAGGCGGAGACCCAAGCTAGAACCAAAATCCCTCCCAAGTTATACCAGGGTCAATAATCTTCCATAGGTACATGTAGCAACTTATCCACTGGCAGGATAATATGCAGAACGATATTCTAAACGTCCAGACATCACATATGACATATCTGGCTGTGACGGTTAAGGAGATATCGCTTTCTGCTCTCGGGTAGATGTAATCTAGGGGTGTAAGGTATCAGGTGACTTTTATTAAAATGACCTCTCTGAATATATGTCTTGTTTTATTGTATGTATTTCCTATGAGAAATTATGAAATTGTATGAAAAAGTGGTTTCACATGGGATGCA